ATATGAAAAAAACCCTCCTTAAACCTTTATTGGATAGAACTCTTTTTTAACATGCTTGGCAGTCTGGCTTTTTAAATTTAAATGTTATTCATTGACATGCAGTGTGTGTGTGCTAATAAAGTAATCATACTGGAATGGAGATGATTTTATAAAGGATCTATAAGAAAAGATTAGAATATATAATAGATGAGGAGAATGTTTTAGAATATGAGCCAATCCAGGTAATAAGGAGAAGGGTAATAATCATAGAGCTGAAATGAATGCTCTATAATAAGCTTGTATTTTGAGAATATTTGAATTTTTTGGATCAACATTTGCCAATTGTGTTCATTTTGTATAACTAGCTGTATAACTTGTAATACACGCCTCAGTAAATTACTTAAGGGAGGACGTTTAGTACGTGCTGCTTGTAGAATACTGAATGCTTACCCAAAACTGATAAAGACAAAAGGAAAAACACATATGCATATGAATGTTGAAGCCAGGTTAATGGTGTACAGGGCATCTCAGTGCAGAGAATCTGAATAAACTGTAAGTATGTGGTCAGACAGTCTTAATCTTCTGCTGCAACCTAATAGATTCTCAGTCACTACTCGCTCTCACAAAGGACTGATATTGATGGATGAGAAAGTGAGAATTTCAGCTGGTGTCTCTCTCTAATAATTTTACCTGCTGGGTTTCAGCATTCATTTTCAGAATGCTCTAGAGACAGCTGAGGAGGTTGGTTGAAGCATCACTGATAATAGTTCCCTTATATCAATAAGAACCTGGTCTTTCAATGGAATTTTATGATAAAGTAGGCAGTTGGTTTGGGGAAAATGGAAAAAAAAAATCTGAGTGGCAGGTGAGAGGAATGTAACTAATGAGTTCTATATGTATTGTATACAATTTGTTTGGCTTTTAGGTTGCATCTGTCTGTGTCTGTCTATTTTGTCCATTAAGACTGCACTGTGTTCAGTGCAAGGGACTGCCTTTTATTCTGAGTTTTTACAGCGCCTAGCAGTTAGACTTGATCCTGATCGGGTCCCTAGGTGCTGGTATCATACAAACATACCTCCTTGTTTATAAAAGTATCCAGTTTCAGGATAGCACTTAAATTGAATTAGTTGAATTTGAGTATGTACTTAAGAACTTCCATGAATGCGGTTGCATAAATGCTTTCTGAATTGGCACCAAGAGAAATGACAAATGGGGATATTGCTAATAACATGCAGCACCCTAAATCATCAAGTGCACATTTAGGGTTAGTACCTAGATTAGGCTTTGATGTCTTTTTTTTTCTTTACTTTGACACATCATGATGTGAATACTTTATTGCCCATCTTTATTGCAGATCTTTAACTTTATTTTCCCACCTGAAGCAACAGATGATGCAAAATAACTGGTATATACCTTCTGCTTGGGTAAAAAATAGGAAAGCTGCACAGCAGTGAAGGCTCCTGAGCCTTGTGGTATATCTCTTGAGACTTAGAAAAGTGAATGGTATATGAATTTCTTTGCAATGTATTGAGGTCAGAAGTAGTAAAAAGTCCAACGTTGTTTTCAGTGAACAAAAGTCCTGATGTGTAGTGATTGTGGTAGTGATGAAGGTATCTCTTCCCAGTCACAGAAAAATATTGGCATGAAGTTTCCTAATGCTAAGCAGAACACATGCTGCTCTTAGAGTCATAATGCAGTTTTCAGTCACAGTGGAGCGCTTTTACAGGGAAGTCCAGGGAATAAAGTGGGAAACAACCTGATAGAGGGTTGTTGGTTGTAGCCATGTTAGTCTAAGGACATAGGGGCTAGGGACAGACATTCAGAAAGCCGGAGTCTGAATTGATTCAACCTTTCCAGGTAGACTAACCTGCGTAGGCTGAACTGGTTTGTAACAGGATAAACAATCCCTCTGGACTGAGGAAGGTCCTGTCAGACCAACCCGGTAGCCTTCTACTACCAGGTCACAAAATGCTTGGATGCAGATGTCGCGGTGGACGTAGTCTTTCTGGACTTTAGGAAGGCCTTCGACACTGTCTCTAACCCCAATCTCATTAAAATGTAGGCAACTGTGGCATCGATGCCAACACAGTCAGATAGGTCACAAATTGGCTGGAGGGCCACACCCAGAGAGTGGGGGGGGATGGGTCTATTTCAACCTGGAGGGATGTGGGCAGTGGGGTCCCCCAGGGCTCGGTGCTCGGGCCCGTACTGTTCAACATCTTCAGCGACTTGGATAAGGGGATGAAATCACTTTATTCAAATTTGCGGATGACACTAAGATGTGAGGAGAAGTGAGCACAATAGAAGGGAGGGACAGGCTACAACTAGATCTGGACAGGTTAAAAGGGTGGGCAGATGAGAATAGGATGGTTTTCAATATGAACAAGTGCAAGGTGTTGCACCTGGGGATGAAGAACCAGCAGCATACCTACAGGCTGGGGAACTCTCTTTTCGTCAGTGCAGAGGCAGAAAAGGACCTTGGAGTCATTACTGATTCGTAGATGAACATGGGCCGCCAATGTGAGGACAGGGTCAGGAAGGCTAACCTCACCTTGTCATGCATCCACAGATGCATCACAAGCAGGTCCAAGGAGGTGATCCTCCCCGTCTATGCGACACTGGTCAGGCCACAGTTGGAGTACTGCATCCAGTTCTGGGCGCCGCACTTCAGGAGGGATGTGGACAGCATGGATAGGGTCCAGAGGAGGGCTACTCACATAGTCAGGGGGCAGCAGGGCAGGCCCTACAAGGAGAGGCTACAGGACCTGAACCTGTTCAGCCTCCACAAGAGAAAGCTGAGAGGGGATCTGGTGGCCATCTCTAAACTTACCAAGGGGAACCAGTGGAGAACAGGAGAGTCCCTGTTCCCCCGAGCACCACCAGGAGTAACGAGGAATAACGGCCACAAGTTGACTGAGAGTAGGTTCAGGCTAGACATCAGGAGACACTACTTCACAGTCAGGGCGGCTAGGATCTGGAACCAACTTCCAAGGGAAGTGGTGCTCGCTTCTACTACGGGGGTCTTCAAAAGGAGGCTAGACAATCACCTAGCCGGGGTCGTTTGACCCCAGCACTCTTTCATGCCCAGGGCAAGGGGTTGGACTTGATGATCTGCTCAGGCCCCTTCCGACCCTACCAACTATGAAACTAGGAACTTTGAGCACATGCCTGCAGTTGCTCAGGTCATGTGCCAGGTGTTGCTATAGTGCACCCTTGGCTGCAGGGACACTGTGCTGGGGGGAATGGCCAGTCTGGGCTGAACTGGCCAGAGAGGGGTTTAATTCCCCACTCTCTATCCCACCAGCAGGGACCCGAGCAGGGTCTGGCAGGCACTCCCTCATCACTGCTGCAGCAGGGGGGCACCATGGCCCCTGAGGCAGAGAGGGGCAGGGAGGAGAGTTAGTTTCCCCACTACCCCCACTGGCTGCTGGGTCTGCCTGCCCTTGCCACTGCACTGCCTGCCTGGAAATAGATTGCCCCCCCCCAGCTCAGTTCTGTGCAAGGAAAGCAAGGCCTGTTCTAGCACCCTCCCCCCCACCCCCGGCTTCTAGCCTGAGCCACTGCAGGTGTGTGCCTGCATGTCTGGGATGTTGGTGCAGTTACAAAGTGATTTAGCCTGCCAGGTTAGACTAACCTACAAAGATTGAATCAATTCAGGCTCAGGCTTTTTTAATGTCTGGCCCTAGCCTTGAGTTGCTAATGCTACTTGAGATATGTTCAGTCAGAGTGAGTGCATTCACTGTCTTTCAGGAAGTTTCTCATCATCACACAACACTATCAAGTTCTTACCAAAATACTCAGCTCTAGGGGATCAACCTTCTTCAAAGGGTCTCCACAGAGATGAGAATTAAAGTGTAGCCCTGATAAACTCTAGAAAAAGTGGAGATGATCAGGCCATACAAAGAGTGAAGTTTATGGAAATAGGCATGTCAGCTAAAAAAAAAAAAAAAAGCCTCCAGTCAATGAAAAGGAAAACCACAAGTCACCTAGGGAGTATTTCTTAGAGTCTGAACAGTAAGCGTAGCAGAATGCACAATGCTGAATAATCTGTACTGCCGCCGCTGCCTGGAGCAATCATATTTAATGTGAACTATGTATAATTTGAGAATGAGAACATAAATCTTCCTGGATTCCTTTGCTTCAAGTTTGATTTATTTCTTAATTTGCAGCTATGTATAAATCCTGTGTTTAAACTGACTCTGGTGAAGAATGAGGAACTTGATAATAAAAATGAGATGTAAATATTATTAATGCCATCTTTATTGCCATAAAGCCTCTGATATTTTTGGTGAAAAATGTGCCTAACCTGACCTTTTTTTCCTTTAGTTCTGTTCAGTTCGCAGTAGGATTATAAAAGCTATTTATTCTTATTAACCTTGCTGAATACATAGATATTTGAGTTGAAATCCTGGCCCTATTCAAATCAGTGGGAGTTGTCTCATTGATTTCAATCCTAGCTAAAATAAAATCCATGCCATGACTCCTGTTGACTTTAGTGGAGTCAATATTTCACTTCTGCATCTGATTCTTCTGTCTTATCTCTTATATATCATGGGTAACTGATGTCAACAATGGAGTCACAGCCATGGAACACAAATGTGAGAAGAAAATCAGGTTCCATGGATCCTTTTCTTTTGTAAATTGTTTGAAAGAATACCAGATTCAATCCATTATTTGTGCTTAGTAATATGCTTTTAAAACTTGAACTATTCTTGATGACTGTCTTTCAGGTAATTTTGAGCTCTTCAGACCAACCAATATAATTCTATAGTTCTTATTCTTTACCGTGTTCATTCTTAAAGTTAAAAGATACAAAGCATGTGACTTGTGGAGAGTTAAAAAAGATCCAAATTTTGAAAGGTCATTTTAGAATAGTGTTACTGACAGTCTTATTCATGGCTGACTGAACTCAGTATTTGATCACAAGACTTTCAACCAGATACAGGGGCCTGAAGTATATTTTGACATGTTGGTCACATACTAGAAAAAATATGTACACCAATGCTGTCATTTTTGTGCAGATGAATAATGTGACAACAGATTATTGCCTTGACATCATAAGGAAGTTTGAAGTTTCAGAAGAAAACAAGGAGCAAAATGTTTTGGGGATAGAAGGTAAAGTCTTTGTGATTCTTCATATATTTGTGTTGCATTTTCTCTGATGTATCTTCTGATGATTTATGACTACAATAGAGGACTGACATAAAAGATACCTACCAGTAGTGTTTGATGTATTTTAATAAGTTAGGGGGAAAATACAAACAGGCTGAAGTACTAGACTAATACTGTATCACCAGATACTGTTCTTTAATAACAAGTCATATTCACAACCACACTGTCTTAAAATTCCATAAAACTTGTATAAATGCTTCTTACTAATCATCTAGTTTTAAGCCACAAATATAAACTGTGCTTTATATACTGTATCCTGTTTTTGCTGAAAAAATTGTAAATTCTGCTATCAATTACATTTGTATAAATCCATATATATTACCTGACAGTTCCTTGATTTATATTTATTTACATTAGACATAGAACAGAATTAGGCCTGTGAGTTTCTTATGGACTTTAGTACTGATTTCTTTCATTTACACAAATTAGGCTGAAGATGGTGTATTAATTCTGAAACCAGCTTAATACCAAATTCAAATCTGGATGCTTTCATAAACTAGATTGAAATAAATGAAGTTCTATGGTCTGTTAACATGCCTAGAAGATAACTTTAATGAATCAGATTAACTTTCTTGTTGGATTCTGTAGAGAAAAGAATCATTTTCCTCTAACAGCACAACAATAGCAAGCCAGAGACCTGGGTTTATGTTTCTGCCACAAGCTCCTTTGTGTGGCCTAGAGTTAATTTACTTGGCCAGAATTAGGAAAAGAAATATGCTGTGACATTTTAAACATTCCTGAAAATATTTCTATTCCCATTAGGTTTCATAACTCTCCCCTCTTATTTTAATTATGTTGAGGGTCTGAATAGTTTACTGAGACCCTTCAAAACATTTTAAATTCCATGTTCTGGAGGCAGGTATTTATTTAAATGCACTGTCCCTGATTCTTATTTAATTTTTACTGGTGTAGATCAATACCAAGGGGGAGAGGTGGGCACTAAATATACACTGCAGTCATTCCAACGTATGACTGAATCAAAATATGGCACCAGGGAGCTTTGTATCAGGACATGGTGTGCCTACGGTATGCACACTGCTTCCCAAACTGAAAAAAATGCCTAAGTAGGGCTTGTGTTTGGTGACTCCTCTGGAGACTTATTCCCAGTCTAACTTCAGTTATTCTTGATTTCTTCAGCATCAAATAGAAAATCAGAGAATTTTAAAATGAATAACGTAAATGAGCATACGAGCAATGTTATAGCCCTGATGGTCCAGAAATTATGCGAGAAGCAAGGATTTCTTAGGGTGATGTTTTATTAGACCAGCTATGTCATTTGGATAAAGTTAGACAAGCTTTTTAGTGAAAGACATTCTTCATCACGTGTCATGAGATCAGAGTCAATGGCAAGGTAGAGACCCAGGAGCCAAATTTGTGCCTGGCATAAATGGTCAGACGTCTCATTGATTTCAGTAGTATTTGTCTCCACTTATGCCAGGGTTGGATTTGGGTAGCTTCCTTGCTGTTGCTATCTACTGGAACAATTCTAAGGCTCTACCATAGGTGAGGGCTCCCACAGGGGAAGTACAAAGTGCTAGTGTACTTACTAGTACAAAGTCCTGGGGATTTCTGGGGTGCCAGGCCTACCCTTTTGCAGGTTCTATGCCTTCATACCCCTTCCTCTTGTCTGCTGTTCCTAAATCTCACTTTAAGAGGGATTTCAGTGGTGACGTAAACAGTTAATACTGCCCCAAACTACATAACTTTTTCCTGTAATGTACACTGGGTCAGCAGTGAGACTTTGTATACCCCTGAAATGAGGCTGTCAGGAATTGTGCATCTAAAAGATCCCTCCCTTTAATTCACCTAAGCCATCCCCCACTCCTCCAAATGGGTCTTACACCTCCCAGAACATTCAGCAGCATCTGAGTGAAAGAGGGTAGTGCTGGAGAGGCAACTAATATTTCTCCTACCACATGCAAACACCTCATAAAGAGTCAGGAGACACTGCCACCTCTATGCTAAGATTGGGAGGCAGGCACCCAATTTTTTAAGGGCAGTGTCTCATCCCAATTGTTTGCAGAGGTGTCCTTGGTAATGTCATCTGATAATTTGAAGAAAGGAAGCTTGGTACATTCTAAAGGAGTTGGTGACCTATTCTGCTCTGCTTGTTAGTGGAATGATTTTGCTGACTGAACTGCAAGAGACAGCATGAGTATACTTGCCTAAGTCTGTGCATCAGATCTGGCAGAAAAAAAAAAAAAAACTCTCCAGGGTTTCAGAGTTTCTACACACAAATTTCTGTTGTATACCCCTTAAGGGCCTGAAGGAAATGTACAATCTGAAAATAGGCTGGGAAATGGGATTGCAGATTTGTGTTTTTCTTAGCCTTTCCCTATTACTGTTATTCATTATTTAAGCTTATATACTTTATACTTGAATCCGATTTTTAGTCTTTGCTGTTCCTTGTTAATATGCCCCTTAAGCATCTCTAAGCCAATGATGTATAAAACCTCCTGGTTTTAGAAGGCATGGATTTGTCAATCTGTTATGACACGTTTCATTTTTAGTTTTTGCAATATTGTTCTGAAGTAACTGTGTATTGCATACAGAAGGCGGTGAAAGCCTTTTTTTCTCTGGTAATAGTGGTTCAAACTACTGTGGGCTTCAGCAGGCGTGTAGTGGTCCACCTGGCTAGTCTCAGACTCAAATCAGTCCTTAAACTAATTCCTGTAATATGGTCCCAGCTATCGTCTTTCTCTGGGCTTCACGCCACCAGTGATAATGCTCTGGGTTCTTCTGCACCGCAGAGTTCAGTAAAAAACATAAATAGTCAAATATAAGCTTCAGCCCTGGGTTAATCTGCACCCCAGAGCACAACAGAAAATATACACAGTCCTCAGTGAACATCCACAAACATGGGTTAATTCTCACCCTGTATTCTCCATTCTTCCTTGGAGAGACCTGCTTCTCTACCAGAACAATTCCCCCTCCAGATCCTCCCCTTCACTTCGTCTTCCTGTCCCCTTTTCTTTCCTGGGCAGCCAGTCAAATTCACCTCATTTACTGATTGACCGAGCCAGCTGTGGTCTCTTAGGTGGGTAGCCTGTTACCAGCTAGCTAATTGCTCTAGGCTGCAAGCCTTCAGCCTATTATAAAGAGTTGTGACAGAGGAGGCTAGGCATGTTAGTCTGATGATAAGCAGAAAGTAGAACAGAATGAGCCTACCTTAGAGGCTAACTAGTTCAGAGAGGCATGAGGTTTTGTAGGTAACAACCTACATGCAGGCAGCTATTTCTTTTGGCCTGCAGGGCTCCCCACATGTCCAGGAATTTGACGGCAGATGAGCGGTGGTAGCATTAATTACCACAGCAGAGCCCAGAGCTGCAGTAGTTAACCCAGCCACTGCTCCTCCACCACCACATTTCTGTATCCATGACATGGCCAGATGACATGGCTCCATGTGCCAGCATGCAGGGCCACGCCAGCACATGGGGATGCTCTGCAGCTGGATCCAGCATGTGAAGCCAGGCTAGCACACAGGGTTGCACTGACAAACTAATCCTGTGTGTTGACTCCATATCACCTCAGGCCTGCTGACTGACCCCATGCATGGGATCTGGTGTGTGGACTAGCCCTGCACCAGGGATTGGGTCCACAAGGCTGGATAAGTTGAATACCACTGCTTTAGATAGTCATATATACACTCAAAGGAGTGTTAGCCAGGACAGTGGATTCATCTTGCATGATCCAACAGGTTTAGAGTGGGTTAATGCTGATATACTGTAGGGGGAGAATTAACTGTGTTAGGGGTAAGTCCTTCTATTAGGGTTTCCCTATTAAGGTACACTGCAGTCTGAAGAACTGTTTATTTTTTCTTCAAAGGTTTCACCAATTTCATGCGCAGTCCTGCTTGTGACATATTTAACCCACTGCATTGTGAAGTTCACCAGGATATGGATCAACCCCTTTGTAATTACTACATTGCTTCATCTCACAACACATACCTAACAGGAGACCAACTTTTGTCCCAGTCCAAAGTGGAGATGTATGCCCGGGTGCTGCAGGATGGCTGTCGATGCATTGAAGGTACTGTCAGTGTTGTTTGTTATGTTTGTCTACGTCCAACAGGCATTTCTTCTGTGTTTGACACTGTATGCACAGACTGAGTCCCTTTGTTCTTCATTCCCTTGATATCATGGATAAACTTTATGTGCTAACAAGATTAGCTGATAATCTGTTCATTGAGGTGTGTTTCTCAGACAGACTCACACAGCATAGGCACTGGTGTGTGAGTCTCCTGCTAGGTCTGTTATATAGGCTATATAACATACACCTCATTGGCACTGAAGCCAATGGCAGAATTCCCTTTGATTTTATTGCCACCAGGATTTGTCCTCAGGAGTTTACTAATTAATAACCAATCACTATATCGTAGGAATCATAAGTTCATCTGTATCTGCTCATTGTGCCTCCCTCTGTGCTAAGGTTCTCTGGAATGCATCCTGTCTTTTTGCACCCAGTCTCAAAAAAGCATTGAAGAGGTCTGTAGCATTTTTAAGATGCTGTTAGCATTCTAGAGAGGAAGCTGTAATAGTGAATTGCTGTAGATCAACAATGTCACAATGGCTTAGCAAAAACATTTTTGTTTTCTGATTCCATTTTACACGCTATGGATCTGATTATGCTTTTCTGAAATCAAAGGCAAAACTGCTACTCACTTTAGTGGGCTCAGATGAAATTAATCTGTGTATTTGTGAAAATAAGTTGTCATTATGAGCATCAAAGGCTGCCTTTCTTTCACATATTTGTTGATCTACTATATGTGGTATGTAATATATAACTGCACCTTTGGAATTATATAGCATAATTTTAGATGCCCTCATCATCATTGGCAGCCATTGGTCTCGGGAGATGATGGAGACTGCACCTTTGAATTACCAGGGACCACCACAATTTCCTGAGTAGCTGAGGAGTCCAATGACCAACAAGCAGACGCTCAAGCAAGTTGCACATACAAACTTGGTTGAGCTTGCAGTGGCATGCCAAGTACCATCTTGTCTTGCCTGCCTCTGATGCCTCTTCTCTATCTGATCATTGACCCTCTCCATCTTGAAGCGACTTAGACCCTGCTTCACGGCAGCTTTCCACTCACAACAGTCCAAGGCGATTGATTCCCAGTGTTGGCCACTGATGCGCTGCTTGTGCAGGCTTTTCTTGCAGACATCAAGAAAATGGAGCTTGGGTCATCCAAGTTGATGCTTGCCAGTGACCAGTTTACTGTAGAGTATGCTGTTGAGGATTCAGCCATTGCTCATATGATTCATGTGTCCTAACCAACAGAGGCACCTCTGTCTCAGGAGCATGAACATACTGGGTATCTTGGCCTGTTCCAGACCAGTGAAGTTGGAAATTTTGTCATGTCATATGCCCAGGATATGGCAGAGACATTGAAGATGGAAACTGGTCAGTTTTCTTTCTTACTTGGCATAAGGAGTCCACAGTTCACTGCCATACAATAGAGAGCTAAGTATTCAAGCACTACAGATGGACATCTTAATTGACTGAGCGAGCACTCTGTTTTTCCAAACTCTCTTTTGAAGTTTAGCTATGGTGTTGCTTGCTCTTCCAATGCAAGTGGTAATTTCAGCTTCCAAGCTATAAGTGTTAATTTCAGCTTCCAAGCCAAGATTTTGCGAGATGATGGACCCCAAGTAAGTGAATGTTTCAATTGCTTCCAGGCTTTTCTCATGTATTGTAACTTCAGGAGGGCAGTCAACTTGTTGACCCATAACTACTTTCTTCTTTAGGCTTATGGTCACACCAAAATTGTCATAAGAATGAGACGCACAATCCATGAGACTTTGTAGTTCAGCTTCTGAATGACTAACAATTGTTGTGTCATCTGCAAAGAGCATTTCATGGACAAGAACTTCTTGGGTTTTGAGACGATCAAGGTTAAAGAGTTTCCCATCAGATCTGGTCCAAAGGTATACTCCTTCTGAAGAGTTACTGAATGCATATTTAAGTAGCAAAGCAAAGAAAATCCCAAAAAGTGTTGGAACAAGAACACAGCCCTGGTTTACACCACTCTTGATTTCGATTTCTTCCAAATGTGACCCATCAATCTGTACAATTCCTTGCATACCAACATGGAAGGACTTGATAATGCTTAGGAGACAAGCCAGTCTTCTTCAGGATTCAGAACAAGCCATATCTGTTGACAAGATCAAAAGCTTTGGTGAGATCAACAAATGCTATGTACAGAGATTTCCTTTGCTCAAGGCACTTTTGTTGTAGCTGTCTCAAGGAAAATATCATATCTATTGTGGACCTACCAGATATGAAACCACATTGAGGAACTACACATTCGCTCCAACACATACATATTAATTTGTACAGATGGGAGAGGAGGATGGATTTCCCGCACTTAGTAACTTCAGCTGATATGTAATCTGCACCTGGGGCTTACCACAAGGAAGCTGATCAGTGGTTTTTTCTGCTTTGTCTGCAGTAGGTTCATGATCAAGTATTGTCAGGGTTGAGAGGACTTCAAATGCATCAAGAACGGAGTCATGGACCACATTTTCATGAGAGTATAGCTCTGAGTAATGTTCAACCCATTGATCCATCTGCTTATTGCGGGAATTGATGACTTTGCCTGTGGAAGATTTTAAAGGGGCGTTCTTCCTCAGAACAGGACTAGGAGCTTTTCTGATTCCCCTGTACATTGCTTGCATGTCACCTTGGTTAGCAGCTTTTTGTATACTTTCACACAGTTGTAGCCAATAATCATTTGCATGCAATCTCACTGTACATTTGACCTTTTACCAGATCTCTCAAAGCACCTGCAAGTTAGAGTGGCTAGGGTTGCACTTATATTTAAGGAGAGCTGACTGTTTCTCTTCTATGAGTGGGATTATTTCAGATGAGTTCTCATCGAATCAATAGTTTGAGCTGTGATGGAAGCTAGCACAAGAATCCAAGGCAGTTTGATAGATGGCTCCTTTGAGAAGAATCCATTTCCCCTCAGTAGTATTACATGGCTTCAGAGATAATACAGTTCCAGAGAGAGTCTTGATGAATTGAGACAATGTGTCTTCAGCTTTCAGCCACGTGGCATTTATTCATAGTAAGGAGAGTTTCTTGCTTTTATACAATGTCTTGGGATGCAACTTGAGGTTAGTGCATACCAATGAATGATCAGTATCACAGTCAGCACTCTGGATCACATGATAATTATATCACATGTCTTGTAAGTGAGTGATAATCAGACTGAGTTGATGCTAGTGTCCAGATGTGGGTAGCACTGAGATACTTTGTGTGGAGGATTCATGTGAAAAAGAGAATTCGTTATACATAGCTCATTGCATGAACATAGCTTGAGCAAATGTCCACTTTCACTCATTTTGCTAACACCATTGGCACCCAAATACTGAGGCCAGGCAGCATGCTCAGTGCCAACCCTTGCTTTGAAGTGTCCAAGCAGGAGGATTTTTTCATTAGGTGAAATATTACTGATTAAGGCACTAAACTTATTGTAGAAGCAGTCCTTCGATTCAGAGGAAGTGATGAGAGTTGGAGCACGTAAGAGGTTGACAGGACCAGAGGCAGTAGGGAGTCAAAGCACCGCTAATTTTTCAGAGTCCTGTAGCACTAACAACAACAAATCCTGTCTCTGGTATGGTACTTATTAAGCCCCATTTATGTGTTTAAGGAATGAAGAAGTTATCATGTTACAGGTGTCTTGTTCTTTGATAACAAAGGCAAGATAGTCTTTCTGTGGAATGTAGTGGCAAGAATTGGAAGCTACTTCTATACAACTTTGAAACTCTGCATTTGTATTTGATGGGTAACATCTTCTAATTGTTATCATATAAACTTCACATAGGAGAATTGAATCTAGAAGTGTTGAGAGCTTTAGAAATCTACTGACTAAATATACTCATTTTCTTAAAAGAAGAACATTTTCTTTATTTTGCCAAGAGCTGCAAAGAACAGTAAAAACAAGAATAAATGTAGAGGAACAAGGAGTGACAAAAATACTGGTTCTCGAAGCTAGTTCAGTGGAACCAGGCAAGGGGGAATCTAGAGCGGGTGTAATGGCACAGTTGTATCCCGCATTTTGGACAAGGCCAGGGGAACAATAAGTGGGTACTTTAAGTGCCCAAGTCAGGGAAGAATCTTCCCCTTCATACTCAGTGGCATGTCCCCTCCTCCCATCCTTCCCTCACCCCAACCCACTGTTGCCACTGTCCCCAATGTCTCTAGCTGTCCCAAGGGTGGGAGAGCTCAAAGGTGCTCTTGCTGTGGCAGCAGCAGGTGGGTTCCTCCTCCCTGCCTGGTCCTCTGGGTGCTCCTCAGCAGTCCAGGAGCAGACTCAGGGATGGACAACATGCTTGCCACTGCTGTTTTCCTCAGCTGGGCCTGGCTCCCCATACAGCCCAGCTGGAATGGGTCAGGAGCAGCTCTGGAGATTACCCTGGGGGCAGCCAGAAATAGCACCAACATTGGCAGTGGCAGGCAGGGCAGAAAGGAATGGAAGGGGAGAAGGGGGGAAAGGAGGCAGGGCAGAGAAGAGGGGGAGGGAAGATTCTTACCTGATTTGAGGACTTAAAAAAAAAGTGCCTAATTGCTGCTCCCACAAGATGGTTTGCCTGTCCCAATGGGTAGGCTGGGGGGAAGCCGGGACTGGGGGTGAATCTACTTCTGCACTTCTGGTCACTACTTCCACAGCTTCCTTTACAAAACCATGGACCTGCCTATGGAGCCAGACATCAGTTATCACAGATTTATGGAATGCTTTATGTCAAAGAGACTGTCATTAAAGACCTGCACTGATGCAGCCTGCTAAAAAAGCAGAGCATAGATTTAGAAGCAAAGGTTGTTTGAGCTTTTTCTGCTGGGTATTTGTTATTGGGAACACACTGATACACTTGCTTGTGTTTAGTAATTGTTACTACAAAACATTGTTTTCGGTTTCATTAATAACTATTCCCCCTATTAACATGAACAGAACCTACTGGGGGCAAACACAAAATGAACTTGTAACCTCCTTTTTTAACTCTTAAATCCATTTGCCAGTAACTCCATTAATACTTTGTTATACCTGGCTTTCTGGTTGGAAAAGTCATCACTATTTAGTAAACATGGATGTCTCCATGGGCTTATTTTTCAGTTCATTCCTTTTCACTTTTTATAGGATACTATTGAGTGTCCCAATCAATTTCATATTCATGTTAGACTATCATCTTATGTACAGGAAACATCTCTAGTGCTAAGTCTGCAGAGTTTGAAGTCAAACTTAAAGTTAGTGACATTGAAGCTAGTGCAGTTAGATCAGGATTACTTTCTATATGTCTGTCATAATCTCATTCTAACAACTCAGTGTTAACATTTACTCCTCAGTGGACACCCACTGGGTGGGTGTACATGTGCAATTAATGTGCTTTTCCTAAAGCGCAGTAAAAGAGTAGCCTATTTTACTGCACATTGAAGCATCATGTAAAAAACTGTGCAGTTATGCTAATGCTCAGTAAAATAGGCTACTGCACATTAGGCGTCACTTTAAAAATGTGCAGTTTTGGTACTGAGCATTAGGGCATCCTAATGTGCATTTATTTAGTACCACACATTGGAGGTACTAAATTTAATGCACATTACGAAAAGCATATTAATGCATGTGTAGACACACCCAGTGAGTGCATCTATACGAGCTCTTAATGTGGCTCAGTAAACTGTGGTGCAGGTCATGCCAGAGTTAGCTGCTCCCAGGTGCAGTGTCCTCATGTGTGCCCAGGACCACCACAGTTTGAGCCAGGACAGAGCAGGCCCAGCTTGGCAACAGGTACAGGGGGTCAGCCCCAGGCTCTGGTGGTGGCCTTGGGGCTGGCTGGGGCATGAGAGTGCTGAAACTGTGGAGCCATGTGGTTGAACCCCTGGGGCTGCTTTGCCCAAGCTCAAAATGCTGCAGTCGTGGTCACTGTCCACACACGCATTTCTGTTCAGTAAATTACTCTGCTGTAAATTACTTATGCCAGAGCTAGTTAATTTACTGCTCCCTAATACCAGCACACATGTAGATGGTGACACTTTACTGCAGAGCTAAGTAGTCAACTCCGCAGTAAAACGCATGTGTAGATGCACCCAGTAAATGCTAATTCAGGTAGACTAGAATGTGTTAAGAACAAACACTGGGAAAACATGAGATCTACTGTAATGGATTAGACCATTGGCCCACATGGTTAGGCATCTTGAGCAGCAAGGAAATCCTCAAAGCAAGTGTACAACAATGCACAAATGATAAATCAATCTTGACCACTGCAGTGGATAACTGCACACTGGGATACACAAGTCACTGAGACTATAGCAAATCTTTATACTCAATTTAAGAGGAAGAACTCCTGTAGAAGCAGGAGAAATATTAACCCCTCCCCCCCGCCCCCCCCAGGCAGAATGCTATCTCTGAAGGATGCCCCCTTTTTTCTGTTTTTTGTAATATTTTTCTACTGAAGGTGTACAGACCTGGGGGGAGAGGGAGGGGGCGGCATTAAAGCAGAAACTTATATTTATATAGGAGCATTATGTAGAAATCTGTTCTCGTTATTAGATACTAAAGTGGACATAAGCACATCAGTGTGATCCTATTCCTCTCTGTTGGAGGCCCTGAAAAGCAGTTAACACAAAAAGTTAACACAGAACTTTCTGCTTTTTGTGATTTAGTTTTATGGCTGAGATGATGGTATGATTCAAAAGTAGATACATAATGTTTTTTATGGACTTAAGCAGGGTAGAATAGGATCACACTTATGTATCAAGCAGGGTAGAATAGGATCTAGCCCAATGAGTTTAATAGTTTTGGTGGGAAGCATGCTCAGATGCAAGTCTTATAATATTTATAAATAATCATAATGTGAATACCCCTTATCATAGGTGATGTGAAGAGGGGTAAGGAGGGTAGCCTTTCCTTCTGCCTTCTCATGCAGCCACTACTCAAGCATGTATCTCTGCCAGCAATGATAGCTGGTGGCTTTCTGTCAGCAAGTAATTATGGTTTCTATGTGTATGACTAAGTTGCAGATGTACAGGTTTTTTCTTTCCTGAATGCCTTTGCCTGTGTTCCAAGGAGCACTGAATTAAGAGGAAAATTTGGCTCACTGAATAGTTTATCTTTCTTGGAGCTTTGACCATTCACTCACACTAATATACCATATTTTCTTGGATATAGTGTGCCCCAGAGTAAAATATGCATCTTGTTTTTGAAAGGCAGAATGAAGAAAATTTATTTATTTGTAAATGAGTCTACACATGCAATTATAGCATGTGAATAAACTGCGGAGCTTATTGCTCTGGAGTTAAGTGCTCCCAGGTGCACTGTTTGGATATGCACCAAGGAGCCATTTTCTTTGGAGCTATAAGCTCCGCAGTTTATTCATGTACAGCACAAGGAGCTGGGGTGGAGCATCCCCAGCTGATGGGATCTTGGGCTGGGGCACAAAGAAGCTTCAGAGTGGACTGCACAGTCCCATCACTGCATGGTTATTTTGAGCTGCTACTGCACAGTAGCAGTGGCATCAGTGTCATGGTTTGTGCCCAGTGATGCTAAGTCACCATAGCAATGAGCTATGGATTCCTATTTGAAGTGTCTGGGTTGATCTTGTAAATCATGTTTGCCCACCTAACAAAGCTAAATTTGTGCGGCACCCTGCATCACCCTTGAAAGGATCTCAAGACACTCCATGGTGCCATGGCACCCTGGTTGAGAATCACTGCACTAAGTATGTAGGTACCTAATAGATGGAGTATGAGCTACCCCTAAGTGTTTTTATGAAGTGAACCAGTCTTTTTTCTGATTCTGCTTGCAGATCTTAATAATTGTACTTCATCAGAATGTTAATTTGTTACAGTAGGATTTATATTATACAAATCATTCTTTGGTTTTTGGTTAGTATGTTCTGTGTAGGCAATAGAAATCTAATATTTAAAAAATACCATATGAAAGTGTTAATCTATTGTTGAGGATTATTATGAGTGATTTACTTGAGTATTTAGAACATTCCCTCCCCATTTCAGGAAAACGAATATATAACTTAAAAATGTATAAAAATGTGGATACATTTTAACATGTTGGTCTTGTTTTGACAGTGGACTGCTGGGATGGTGCAGACGGAGAGCCAGTAGTACACCATGGTTATACGCTTACTTCCAAAATTCTCTTCAAAGATGTAGTGGAAACTATCAATAAACATGCCTTTGTCAAAAATGAGTAAGTACAACATGGGCTTTGAGTATAGATCAGTGTGCATGTCTTGTGTGGTAAATCTTGTGTGGGAATGTTGTATCACAGTGTAAATTTCTTCCTCGAAACGCACAGAGAATATAATCAAATTTGATTATTTTCCAATATGTTGCTTTTATGATATCATATTTGTCATTGAACAGTATAAATAAATTATAATGATAAACCTATCAGTTGGTACCCAGAAATGTATTTTTATATTGCTAATAGATTTTTGTTTAGCATACATAATTTAAGTATATATTATTGTTATTAAATAATATTACATAATCTTAGGGTCATTTAAATCCATTTTTAAGTCATGAAACACAGGGAAGTCACACCCCTAATGAAGGTTCTGTCTGAAAGGGGACAATGTTTTCTTAGCTCTGCTTACTAAAATATCCAACGTATCAAAAGTAAGAAAGGTAACATTTTAATCATCATTTTCCTTTTGTGCCTTGGTAGCAGAGCATACACAGGTTTATTAAAATCAAGCCTTGTGCTCTCATGCCTGTGGTAAGCACTGCAGGATAAATTAAGAAAGCAAGCTGGATCATGCTGTCACCATGATAAAATCTATGGAAGGAGAGGGGGACAGAGGAATGAGAACTCCATGGGATGAACCTATAGATTTTAAAAAAAATATTCCCTCCAAAGGGAAGGAAGGATATTCTGATGGCTAAGGAGCTAGGCTAGGGCTGAAAGACCTGGGTTCCTGATCACATAGATTTCCTATGGGATCTTGGACAAATCATTTAGGTCCAGATCCACAAAGGGATTTAGGCTCCTAGCCTTGCATTCAATTTACTGTCTCAGGTCTGGTCTACATCACAAATATGTATAGAATTGACAGCATATGGCAGCAGGGGCAAGTCAGTAACAAGGGAAGTGGCAGTGGTCAGGTCACAAGCAGTGGCTTGCCTTAGGGCCAAGGAGTGTTATTATTAGGAGTGCTATTATCAGCCTACCATTTGTATAAAGGATTCGGGGCCTGTGTTAGTCAGTTTTCATGCATAATAACAGAATTGTCTTCATGGAGACATGATTACTATAATAGGATAAAAATACTACATTAATAATGTAATTGCTGGTACAGAGAATGTAAGAAGAAACTGAATGAAAAACAGTCTGCTTTAGTACACTGTATGATAATTGTGCTGGCTATGGAAAAACTATTATGAAATTACTTGAAGTTTTTGTTTTTGATTTAGGTTTCCAGTGATATTGTCAATTGAGAATCACTGCAGTATTCAACAGCAAAATAAAATTGCTCAGTACCTCAAGGAAATATTTGGAGACAAACTGGACTTGTCATCTGTAAACAGTGGAGATGCCAGACAGCTTCCCAGCCCTCAAAGTTTGAAAGGCAAAATCCTAGTAAAGGTAATTTGCTCTCAGTATTGTGTGCAGAATAAAATAAAAGTCAGTGTACCCCACATATCATCATGGCTCTTTTCCCTCTAGACTTTAAAAGCAGTTTACCGGTAAAGCAAAAATCAACTCAGATGCAATTAGATGGGCAATGATTGTGTGTGTGTGTGTGCGTGCGCGTGCATGCGCAGGGGGAGTGTTTACATAGACATTTTAACAGTTTACTTTGGATTTAGCAAGTATCCTGGTTACTTTTTAAATGCAGGCTGTAATGAAAGTAACAGCAATAACGATAATATAAAAATGCTTTCCAGTTATATTCCATTTCATCTATGGGTCTCAAAGCATGTTACACATGTTAAGTACTTAAACCTTAAAGTTACGCTGGGATGTAATGGTGATATTATTATACCCACAGTTACAGTTTGGGGAGGGCAGGGGGAAACAAGGCATCCAAGATTACACAGTATATTATTAGTAAGGTCAAGAACAGAATCTACAGTTCCTCATTCCCATTCCATTGTCCAAGCAATCCTCTAATTTTATTTAGTTACGTTTTTCTTAAGCTATCTATCACGGAGGTGCTGAAGCACGAGCTCATGTTGTCTCTTTGCCTACAGCACATCCTTTGGGTGTAAAACAAAAAGACTGAGAAATCAGTTTAAATGTTTGAATAGAAAAGCACTTTCCCCTTCTCTTCCCACTTTTGTGCTGCTATGAGCAACAGTTTGTCAAATATGGCCAATTATTCATGATTCAAAGACTATGGTTAGGTAAGTGTGGTTCCATGGTATGTAGGAACAGAGCTGTAGAATAACAAAGGAAAAGTGATATCTACACCATCTTGGCTACTGTTGTATGCTAGCTGGAAAATATGAGCTCCTCTCTATGAACAGACACCTAAAAGGGATTTCCTCAAAGAAAATGAAAACAGTAGGGAAGAAATGCTATGCAATTCTTTGAAAGGGATGACTGTCTTATCAGACAGCCTCTTTCTATTTTGCTGGACCATGGTGAGGATGCTAAATTATCTGTTAACATGTGGGGTGATTTATTTGTATACTAATAGGATATGACAAACCCTGTTTCATTTTACTATGAACATATTTTAATGGAAAGGATTGAGATGGATCCAGGACAGAAAACCCAATCCAAACACCCCAGATGTTGTAGAAACTTGACTTCAAGGGCAGGGGACAGACATTCAAAAAGTCAGAGCCTGAACTGATTTAATCTTTGTAGGTTAGTCTAACCTGCCTAGGTTGAACTAATTTGTAATAGTGCAGACATTGCCTCTGGACTGAGGCAACGTGGGCACATCCCTATGGTGTCCAGTGGAGGGGGCTTATTCCACCACTTGCCCTGGACACAGAGCGAGCAGTGGCCATGGTGTGTAGAACCCACTGTGGTGCCCCAGGGGCAGAGGGGGGAATAACCCTGCTCCCAGCTTCCCCCAAGGGGCCCTGCCAGCAACTTCTGGCCCCAGCCCCACCCGGCTGCTGGAGCAGTGAGGAGGGAGTGACCATGACAGGGGCAGCAGCCCCTGTCATGGTTTCCTGGAGCATGAGTCCCTTCCTGGTGGGGGGCCATTGCTGCAGGGCAGGGAAAGCTGCTATGGGCCACAGTGCTGGGGGGTGGGGGGTGCAGGGCTTGCAGGGCTCTAGCCTCCTCGGGGCCCCAGTGCTGCTGCACACAGTCCGCTGCGCTCCCTGCCAGGAAGGTGCTCATGCTCCCTAACACTATGACAGGGGCTGCTGCCCCCAGCAGTGGGGTAGGGGTATGATCAGACACTGGCCATCAGGGCCCCTTGTGGGGGGGCAAGGACAGGGCTTATTTCCCCTCCCTCCAGTGTCCGGCAGAGGGGGCATCAGGGGGCATATTCTGCCGCTTGCCCCGAGCACGAAGTGAGCATGGTGGTGGCAGGGGACAGACCCGACTGTGGTCCTCCGGGGGCAGTGGGGGTAGAGGTGAGAATAACCCCCTGCCCTGTCCCCTCTCCGTCAGGGGTCACACCGGACTGCCACTGCAGCAGCGAGGGGAGAGTGCCCGGCAGTTCCGGCTTAGGTCTCTGCTGGTGGGACAGGGAGGGGGGAATTAAATCTCTCTCTGGCCAGACCCTGGCCCCTGCCTGTCCCTGCTCTGACTGGGGAGCACAGGGGTGGGGCCAGCCTGGCTGGGCTGAAGCAGAGACCCAGCTCAGAGTATATGCCGGCTTGCTGGAGGACTCTGGTTTAAGTTAAACCAGGAAGGGTTCTGGGACAGACATTGCATAAACTGGTTTGAGCCAAATCAGTTAAGTCTGATACTACTACATTCAGCCAGGTTTATCTCAGACTCATTTTGGCCATTTTGAAACTAGTTTATGTGCACTGAATGTCTGTTCTGTTACAGGTTTAAACTAGTTTCTGATCACTTAAGCTGGTTTATGTGTAATGTCTGTCCCTAGCCCAAAGAGTGCATCTGAATTTCACAGAATTCTCTTGGGTTATATTTATATGGCACAAGGTAGAGATTTGCTAAGACAGTGCTTGCTCCCAAAGGAAAAGTAGTATGGTGCTGCCTATGCAGCAGTGGGCTGTTCCTTTCAGAGTGTGCCAAATGTGATATCAAATACTAAGTCAAATTCTCCTCTCACTTATATCAGTATAGTTTCAGAGTAATTCCACTCAAATCAATTGAATTACACAACTGCAAAGGTGTAAGTGAAAGGTAAATCAGACCATCTTAGTTGATGATCCTTCTGAACATACAGAATAAAGTCAGCCTCTCAAAACATGAAAAGGAATGGTATAGAGTTTCAATATAAAACAAAACTCAACAAATCTATCTTGAAGCAACAACAAAACTGCTAAAAGCTGCCACTTCATAGCAAAGAGTTAGAAGCAGAGAGATTCTAGTTCTTCGGCAGTGCATTCTTGTTAAACATATGTTACTTACAATACATCATGGGAAACATGTTTAAATTTTCTTTCTAGCCTGGCTTTTTCCAACAATGAGTGATAAAATCTAATTACTGATTGCAGAATTAGCTGCCTAGGCTGAAAAGCTGAGACAGTATTCAAAAACAACAAATTCATAGATTCACAGATGTTGGGGTTGGAAGGGACCTCAGTAGGTCATTGAGTCTGACCCCCAAAGAGCCCCGGTGATCAGACTACCCCAGCCAGGTGCTTTTCCAGTCTCTTCTTGAAGACTCCCAAGATAGGGGAGAGCACCACCTCCCTTGGAAGCCAATTCCAGATTCTGGCAACCCTTACTGTGAATAAGTTATTTCTAGTGTCTAACCTAAATCTGCTCTCCGTCAATTTGTGGCCATTGTTCCTAGTTACCTCAGGGTGTGCCCTACTAAATAGAGCATCTCTTATTCCCTGATGCCCTCCTCTGATGAATTTATAGGCACAAGATCACCTCTCAGCCTTCTCTTGCAAAGGCTGAAGAGATCCAGGTCCCTCCGTCTCCCCTCATAGACATCTGACCATACAAGTGGCCCTTCTCTGAACCCTCTCAAGGTAGTCCACATCCCTCTTGAAGTGTTGTGTCTTGAACTGGACGCAGTACTCCAACTGTGGCCTGACCAATGCCATATAGAGGGGAAGTATCACCTCCCTGCACCTGTTCATCATGCGTCTGCTAATGCATGATAAAGTGCGGTTAGCCTTGTTGATCATTTCACCACATTGATGACTCATCATCACTGCAGATTGTTTTCTGATATTGTATCACTAAAAAAAAAATTACAGCAACAAAAATATTCAATTGAAGTCAGCTAATCACTTGAGAAAATACAAACCCTTATTTAAGTCAACAGCCTGTTTGGAAGTAATAAGCCTATTCTACACCTCTATGCCCATCAGTTTTACTTTGCTTATCATTTTCATTGAAGGATTTAAAATATGACTTAATTAGCCAAGTGATTTTTTTCATAGATTTCATAGACATCAGGGCTGGAAGGGACCTCGGAAGATCATCGAGTCCAGCCCCCCGCCCAAAGGGCAGGAAGTCAGCTGGGGTCATAGGATCCCAGCAAGATAAGCATCCAGTTTCATCTTGAAGGTGTTCAACGAAGGCGCTTGAACCACCTCCGGTGGCAGGCTGTTCCAGACCTTGGGGGCTCGGACAGTAAAGAAGTTCTTCCTTATGTCCAGCCTGAAACGATCTTGAAGTAGTTTGTGACCATTCGACCTCGTCATCCCTTGGGGCACTCTGGTGAACAAACGTTCCCCCAGATGCTGGTGGTCACCCCTGATAAACTTGTAGGTGGCCATCAGATCACCCCTGAGCCTGCGCTTTTTCAGGCTAAAGAGCCCCAGGGCTCTCAGCCTGTCATCGTAGGGTCTGTTTCCCTGCCCTCTGATCATGCGCATGGCTCTTCTCTGGACTCTCTCAAGCTTCTCCACATCCTTTTTGAATTGTGGAGCCCAAAACTGGACACAGTACTCCAGCTGCGGCCTCACTAAGGCCGAGTACAGGGGGAGAATGACGTCCCGGGATTTGCTTGAGAAGCATCTATGGATGCAAGCCAGCGTTTTGGTCGCTTTACTAGCCGCCGCATCGCACCCTAGTGCGAGCTAGGGTACCTCACACTACAACTGGTGCTCCAGGGTCTCACAGGGGACTCTCACTCCCCCCACTGGAGCAACAGGTTGTGGTGCTACTTAAGATCTTACTTTTGACCCACACTCAGCCTCCTAGCAGTGGAGGACTTACCGGGGTCAGGATTCAGCCTCTCTCTCTTGGGCTGAGCCCCCTTTACTTGGCCTTGGGCCTAAACTTCAGCCTCAGGTGTCCAAAGACCTACCTGGGCCTACTGCCCTCACTCAGGGTCTCCACACCGCCCCTTCACTTGGGGCTCTAGATCTCCACCCCTTTCACTCATGGCTCCCCACTGCCCCCTCGCTTGGGGCTACTCGTCTCTGCCCCCTTCACTCGGGGCTCCAGACTGCCGTCTCACTTGAGGCCATGGGGCTTCGGTCCCCACAGGGCTCAGGTGGCTGCAGCCATGCCTGGCCCCC